TGCGGATTTTCACACCTCATTTTGCCTCTCTCTACCAGGGAAGAAAATTGTTTGTATGCTGCACTCGCAATAACATTTGCACGGGACCAAGGCACGTAAAGGCACGCCATATCTCGAGGTTTTGACATGGATGTTGTTCCTGAAAGAATATTCGAAGAAATTTTGACCTCGGTACTTGATGAGCGCTTTCCTGAGTCTCACTAAGCAACAAAAGAAAGCTTTGTTCGCCGCGTTGAGTCGAAAGGATGTGTTCACCATTTTATCAACCGGACATGGAAAGTATATAATATTTCAGTCGTTACCTGATGTTTGCAAGTACTTTTCCTTAAGAGGCTACTCATACCCTCGCCATGCAATAATTTTGGTTGTCTGTCCTCTCAAGTCTCTTAGTGTGGACTCGCATATCCGCAAACTGCGAAACCGTGGCGTCTCAGCAACCAGTTTGAGCAGTCCAGACGTTGACGACCAGAATCTCGTGTCTCGATGTATTTACCATTTTTTGTTACAATACTGTCATTCCATTAAATAAACTAAGTTGTTTAGGGCAGCAAAATATAAATCTCCGAATACGGAATGAAAGTTTCCTTAATCATTTTCGGTGGAGCTTGCATTTTCCTGCGACGCCCAATATTTATTTTTAAAGGTCTAACCAACGTTATTTTTGGCATTGGGTCAACAAAAACCTCTGAAAGTACATTCCGAACCTTAAGGGTTTGTTGTGTGGCATGACTCTTCCTAGTGCCGTTGTTCCACAAAAAAAGGAAATGGAGCCGCCAAACCAAAATGCGAGCCAGATTGCCAGAATACATATTAATATTATTATTTTGGGGGGAATGCCGGCGAATCGACGCGAACGGTGCGCCCTGCAGAAGTAAACAATATAATAAGCGTGATAGATAGACTCTTGCAAACTTTACAACTTCACGCTGGCACTTCCGACAGATAATCCCGTTGAGTCATATACACAGCCGACAGAACAGAACGACAATGTTTGTGAAAAATCCTTGTTATTATATCCAAAAACGTTGATTTTAGATCGGCCACTCATTTTTACGTAAATTCTGCAAATCCTGCAGCAGTCATTTGGAACAATGTTGGTTTCTTTATTAAGTGGTGTTCTTATTCCTGGACTCTTGTCGCCCATCGTTAACACATGCTTTAGCTTGACCCCGATTAACAAATCATTCTTTATCACCCAAGTGGAGATGGTTTGTTCGTAACATAATTTCCCCAGGTCTACCCCGACTTAAAAAAATAGCGGCGGATAAGCACGTGTTTGCTAAATTGCCATTGGTCACTCTTTTTATTAGCAATTTGACGCGTTTGACAGCTGTCGTCTGCATGAAAGTGAGATTCGAGGCCAAGGTAACCAGAGGTTTTTCTCTCTCTCCTCGTCGCTTTCGCGACTCGTTGTCGCCGCTTCGCGGCTTGCTGTTGATCTCTTTCGCGAAGAAAAATCAAGAAAAAACTCTGGGACCAGGGTAATTCCAGGGGGACCTTCGCTTTAAACCCCGACGCCCGCCCTGTCGGTACATATAAAACCAAGATGGCCGCCCGTACCGGTAAGCGCTCGATCCCGACGATCTTACCAAAAAATAGGGGACTGTGAACAGTTCAAAATTCCAATAATCTATAGATTTAGCCAGAGCTAAAAGTGGAGCTCCTGTTTACGCATTTTTAATTTACTTCAGACGATGGACTTGAAACCATTGCAAAGAAATCCACAGATCTGTACTTAACTTTAGGGGAGAACCATACTGGACTGAAAAACATAAACTAGAGCCCGCGATCAATTAAAATTTAACAGCTGGTAAGCGGAAAACTTCAAAAAAAACCCTGACCTCAATGAGATTGCACCTGAGTCCACGATACGGTCATGTGACTCTGGTCAGCGGATACCCTGTTTCGACAGCTGTCAATTGACCATAATATCGATGTCTATTATCAAGTTAAACACAGGTTACAGGCTCCCACACAGCTAGAGAGTTTGACATTTCACATTGGTTACCCTGTGGTGATGAGGACGTACGGAAGGACGTACGGTCTACGTGATTACCAAAGTTTCTCGGATGGATAGCACAGTTTTCTTAGGTATGAGGCTCTGCTAACAGGCGCTTCGTGCGCGCGAGCTAAAATCACAGCTTTGCCCTAATATTTTAATTAGCCTGTTCCGCACGTTCAAATAGTGGGGACAGCGGAAAGAAAGGAGAACGAGAAAAAAAATCAACAGCAAGGGATGAAAGGAACTGTGAAGGGGATCGACTACAATCAAATTAAATTACAAAAGACATTTTCCATACGATTTTATAGTATTGAATTGCTTTGACTTGATACCTTAATTGTTTTGTTGTTGTTGTTTTTTTACACTTACCACACAAGTTGCACATTTTTGGGCATCTCTTGGCCATCACCTCCTTAAACGCAGAACACATTTCCCTTGTCAGAGACTTGCCACATTCTGGGTCAAAATCATTACAGTCCCCTAGGAGAGCAAACACGTTCCCCAGCGTTTATTTACTAACTTAGACTACCTTTACTTACTTTAAAAAAATGCTCCCGTAGTAGAATTATGACACGGATATGAACCAATATGAAACAAATTTCATCAGAGAGCACTAACCATTACATAATATATATTTTGGTGATTTTGCAGGCATAGATTCAAGGTTGAAATCGTTGACCCAATTTTTTCACATTTCAATCCATGTCTATCCTTGCCATCCGTAGCAATACACGGCAGAAAAAGTTTCAACAGCAACATGGAATATTACTAAAATAGCAAACCTGGACCACTATTTTTTGGAATTCAGCCGATGGGAAGAAACGTTTCAGGTTTTTAATCATGGATGGAAGGTCGTTGGTTGGTAAATGTAACAAAGATTTATGCCTTAGATCAAAAGCTCATAAAAGCTATATACTTACTGCAGAGATTTTTGTAGCAGAATCCGTTTCCTGAAGCACATTTGGAACATGGCTTTCCGACTTCATAAGGAAAGTGATCAATTACGTTACCTCTTAAAAAGTCAATCCAGGAGTTAGCAATTTGCAGATTATTAAGCGGACCCCACATAAGTGGACACTTAAGAAAATTAACTGTATTACTGTAGAAATCATAATGAACAATATGACAGTACACAGTTAATTTCAGTCAAGAAACAAACTAAACCATCCTTGTTACTCAAGATTATTTTTGCTTGTTGATTATCTGTCCATTATTGTACACTGCGTTTTTGGTTTAAGTGGCCTTTTAACGAGGATAATAATGCTTCTCGGTATACGTTGGATTTCATAATGTCGCCATAGACCACTGAGAATGACCGCGTTTTAACTGGGTTAATAAAATTAAGAATGTCATCAAGCACAACTTTAAGTGGCCGTACAAACAAGAAGTACGTAGGACGGAATTCCACTGCACAGGCTAATATTTGTTTGTTTTGTTTTGTTTTGTTTTTTCGGCGAACCGAATTTTTAATTATTGAGAATGTGGGTCAGTTATTGATTTCAAAGTATATGGTTACGAAGCATAGTTTGTTCGGAGAGCTAAAAAATGCTGGGAGACAACTAAAATAAAAGACAAGTTGCACTGAATTTTTTAGACTATTTCCTGGGCTATATACGAAGACGATAACTCGTAACTCAAATTCATAGTTCTATAAAAGATTTTTGTGATGTTGAAGTAGATCCCAACACATGTATATGGCAATGCAAAGGAGGGCAAAAAAAGTCTCTAACAAAAGCGCATAGTCAGGACCTCCTCAATTTCGGGGGATCGACTACTTGATAACAATCACCTTACTTACCCAGGAGCATAGTTGCAGACCACTTCAGTTTCTCCTTTGACCCATGGGTGAGGCTTACCAAATGTCTTGTCACAGAATGAAAAGCCACACCCCACATATTTGGTCGAGGCCCATACAAGCTGCAGAAAGAAATTAATTCTTACTATTGCTTTACAACCCAGCTCAAACGGGTTTTCCGATCGGACATAAACTTTACATGATATGGGTAAAAGCTCACTGAGTTAGTAAGACACTCACAAGTGATCAGTTCGTGTACCTTGAAACTGAACTGCAGGAATGATCAAGCTTATGTCATTCGCAATTTTTGCGATTAGCAATAACTTGAACTTTTTCGCATTCATGACCAAACTGAAAGCTATATAAATAATTTCAACCGGCATATTATGATTTGTATGGTTATTGCCTGAAAGTAAGTAATTTTGCCTCCAAACTTTTTACAGTATCTTCAATCCAGTTCCCTTGCGAAACTGGCTTGGCGGCTAATTTTAAGTCTTCCAACAGACAGGTGTAATGAATTAATAAATTATTTTGATTAAAAAAAAAACAAAATTAAAGTCAAAACACCAACATCGATCTGAAAATGGTATCACTTGATAATGATATCATTTTATGTAATTAAGGTCTTTTAGAAATTTTCATTACAGTGGTTTGTTTTCTTGTTTTATTATTATCATTCTTGGCGGCAAGAACTGAATTCGGAAACAACTCACTTAACAATAAGCTAGAACTATACTGTAGCTAATGGAAAAAAAAAGAAATAGTAAATTACGTCAAAGAAGACTCTTCTATGAAAGAATTAACCTAGTTTATAGGTTAGTTATGCTTGGTGCTAATATTTTATTCATTTTTAAAGTAATAATTCAACTGCAAAAATCTTTTTAAAACGAAAAACACAAGGTCACATTGAAGTTTACTTATTTGTATATTTCTGATTGTTTTCACTATATTCCAGTGTATTTCTTGTGCGCAAACCTGGTTAATTATACAATCTATGACGTCACTGAAAGGGAAGCGGCCGCCTTTTAATCAGAGCAATGAAAGGACAAATAACAACAAAACAAGATATTTCGCCTACATCTCCCCTTTCGACGCTTTACAATATTTCAACAACAATTGAAGTAGCAAGTACATAGTATCAGAGTGTATCTAATGTACTATCCGACTGTATCAGCACCGGTCTATCCCACTCTTGCCTCGTGTATGGCCGTGTTAGCAGTTATGGGCTGCGTTCTTCAAACCCTCTCGCTCTTCCTGCTGACGAGGCCCTCGTTTCGACAATTCGACCTTACTCCGTATTTCCTTAGCGTGGTGCTTGGCAATCTCATGGTTATAGTAGCTGATCTGCCACCCCTTGTCGCGTCAGCGTGGTTTCAGAAACAGCTGGTCGGTATCGCATATTGCCAGGTATAAAATAATTATCAGTTTTTCAAACTAAGATATATAGTATCATGGTTCATGGAACACTGCTGCTTTCGAACACAATACCAGTAAAAGATGCAAACTGGATACTCGGTCTTGATTCCGTTCTTTTTGGACCATTGTTTGGTCGCCGGAAAGCTAGGGATTACTGTTGAAATTTTCCATAACATAATGCCGACTCCACGTTTTGCAAAGACTGCCTTCCCATGAAAAGAAGACGATTGAGTTTTCGCGTTGAAGAAGGTTTTGTTTCACCCTGTCTCGTTTTTGTCTCTAAAAAAAGTGTGCGAAATCTTCAAGAAATTCTTAAATTAATTCGTGACCTAACTGGGCAGGAATTTTAAATAGAACCTTGCATGTTGCACGTGCATGTTGGTAGATTATTGGCCCAATTGTTGGTTTTCATATGACGTAACTAAAATTCAAACTACAAAACTATCAATCCTACCGAGATTCTACTTTCACGATGTTTTAGAGCAGCTGAAAGTAATTTTCATACAAATTTTCGCTTCAAACGGGTTCTTGGTTTTGTGATAGTAAGCTTTTGCGTGACGCGGCATTTACATGACGGCCAAGAGCGTTGTATATGTAGGTTAAAAAAATGACTTATTTTAGGGAGTTTTGCTATTTAAACAGTTCATGTATTAGAAAAAGTATTACTTTAACGTTTATGAGTTTCTCGAAGAATAAATTCACGCTTTTTTAGCAAAACTCGGTAACAGATGTTTCTGTTGGTTTCCGTCCGCCATGTTGGTGCTCATCCGGATGGGCACCAGCATGGCGTCTCCATACAAATCTCTATATATTTGGGTAAAACATTTCCTCGGATATCTCGTATACGAAACATTCCTCTGACCTGAATCTTGGCGAGGGTCTTTGCATATTTACCTCCTTTCATTTCCCAGATTCTGGACTTTATCTATTGAACGGTTTTGATTTTGATTTTGATCTGTTTTGAATGGCGTGACACTGGAAACCAGCAATACAGCAGAACTAGGTTTGTAAAGTGTGACAATATTAAAAAAACTTTTTTTTTAAGGTTGGTGGATTCTTGACTGGAGTATGGTGGATCACTACAGGTGTTACTTTGGCCTTAGCAGTCCGTGCGGTCTACCTCAACATGTGTGACGAGGCACTAGCCGGGACTCCAGACGAGCGGCCTCGGGATAGCTGGCAGTATGACAGTATCATAAAGAAGCTGACGGCCGTTTGGCTTTACGCCATTGCGGTTAGTCTCCCACCAGTTTTTGGATGGGGCTCATTTGAGCCCGAATCTGGTGGCATCATCTGTGCCCCAAACTGGAGAGAAAGCAGCATCTCCGCACGATCCTACTTATCACTGCTGGTATCTGCAGCATTCCTCATACCTTTGGGATTTTCCATTGCCTATTTTTCTAAGATGTACCGAACATCGAGGCAAGATCCGGATGTAGATGCGTTGGTGAAGAGGAACATACCGAAAGAAAAGAAAACAGTCATTTTGACATCCATCGGTATCATTGCTTTCTTTGGGGGATGGATGCCGTACTGTGTATGCACGCTGTTAACGGTGTTTGGTGGTTCAGAGATGCTTGGAGGGGAAAAGACGTTCATTCCTGGGATGTTTGCTAAGGCCAGCTACGTCTATCTTCCATTAATTTGCATTCTTCTAAGCAAACGGTGAGTAATACAAAATTTCTCTCTTTTTTGCTTTGATTCCAGAGGAAACATTCTTTGTGTTGTGATTCCGATTCGAGTTTGTTCTTTGGCTCAAATTTTGTTATTTTCTTTATTTAAAGCTCATAATCGTGCATTTAAATAATCCCAAAACAAAAGGAAATAAAATTTAACCAATGCAGTTGAAATGAACATGACACAAATCATCGCAAGCTTCCACATTTTAGTCTTTATTCTTTATTTACTGATTCAACCAGAGAGCTTTTTATTCAAGGAAAACATTCAATAAATCTGTGAAAAAATGCTCTAATAATTATCAACTGTTCTTTTACTTCGTTTTCTAGTTTTCAAGCCGCAGGTGTGGAGATTATGCGCGCCCTCCTGTCCAGTAGGAACGAGGGTAGAAACGAGGGTAGGAACGAGGCTGATGTGAATAACAATGCTTGGGGTCAGTTTGTTCTACTGCGTCATCAACCCGAGGAGATTATGAGCCGAATGAAATGCATGCGCTATCCACGCCCCAAAAACAATAATGACCGACTTTTGTCATTAACTACGCATGCGTTTGAGCCAGCTAAAGATGATAACCAAATGGAGACTTCAGTGTAACATGCTTTCGTTATTATCTTAATGATAACTTACAATCTCCAATTACATTTCCTTTATTTATTTATTTATTTATT